GCTGCCGGGCGCCTTGGGTGTGCGGCTCTGTACTGTCCTGACCACCCTTCCAGGGTTCTTTCTTCACCTCCAGGCCTCATAGTCTTGCAAATCACTGAGCTCTGACCTTGCTTTCTTCATCTGGAGAATGTGGACCAAGCCCTGCTCCTCGGGATTCCTTGCACCAGGAGCCCAAGGCTGTGCCTGGCTCGTGGGAGGGGCCCCGTGTCCCTCACCCCCGGCCGCCACGCTAGCCCCGTGCTATGTACCATGTGTTCAGGACTCACGGCAGGGAGACACGCGGGATGAGAATTCACAGCCTGCTGAGACCCGGGCGGCACTGAGGGATTGGGCAAGAGGGGCCGGTAGGGGGTGCCCATGCCCAGGCTGCCTTGCAGCTGCCCTCCTGGGGATGCCCGGGCAGCTCCTGCTGAATCATGGGCAGGTGACAGGTGGGCAGAGCCAAGGTGATAAGCTCTAGGCCTGAGTGTGAGGCCCAGCCCCACCGTGGTTGTCTGCAGAACCACAAGGACCACTGGGCACTTGTGAGAGTTCACTGCAGGGGTCGCGAGCTTTTGACAAAAAAGGAGAGAGCGCATTTACAGGATGTCTCCACACAGGGCCCCGGGCGCGTACATCCTGCCTCTGACCGGTGGCTTTCATGCAGGGGGCACGGGATAGTAATGGCTGTCACGACTGGGGAGCTGCTGGCCTGGAGTGGGCGGAGGCCAGGGACTCCTCAGCACCCTGCAGTGCCCAGGGTGCCCCAGAGAGCGGTCTGAGGCCGAAGAGCCTGGCCTGGCCTGGCCTGGCCTGGCCTGGCCGGTTGTCTGCGTGCTTCCTGGTGGTAACCTGCAGAGGGTCAGTTCACTGTTAGTATCTCTCAGGCTGCCGCAGTCAGCAATGTGGTGGCCTCAGGGGCAGTAGTCTCAGGGCCTAGCTCCTGCTCCGCCCCCTGGTGGCCTTTGGACAGCACTTCCTGTTTGTGCTCCAGGGAACTTGGAGGGTCAGTAAGGCTCGGGGCCAGGGGAGACACCAAGGCTGCTGTTGCCTCTCCTCCTCCCTGGCCGGTGTCACTGCCACCTGCCTGCCATCTCAGGACTCCCTGGGCTCCTGAGGTGGCCAGAACTTTGCATTTTCTCTGTAGAGACACCCACAGAGGGCTCTGGATGACTTCTCCCCAGAACTGCTCCGGAGACGCCTGCTGCCGCTGCGATGGGGGTGGGGCCGCCCTGATGACTCGGTCCCTCTGCACCCTCCGCGTCAGATCTGCAGGGGACCTTACCCTGCCCGTGTCACCCTACAGGGGTGACCCCCTGTGGGTCAGGCCGGGGCACTCTGTGCACGGTTCCCCCTATGCTGCAGCTTAAGTCCTAATCGGGCCTCTTCTGGATAGTGGACTCCTGCCTCTTCGCAGCTTCCGTCTTGAACAGTGTACACTGGCGCCTAAAGCAGCTGATGGCCAGGGCTGGTTACACTAAGGATGGCGGGGAGCCAGCGAGTGATGGGAAACTAGGGCTACCTGGAGCCACCATCTCCAGTGGCTGGGAGAGTCCTGGGGCTGCGGGTTGCGGCTGGCTCTGAGCCGAGGCATTTGAAGCCCAGGCTGCTAACATTAAAAGCTCCACTTCACCAATCTGCGATTTCTCTACAAACTGAGCAAGAACCTCAGCTGACTGATAGCACCCTGGAAGCCACAATAGGGCTCCTCCTGTTTAGGAGCCCCAGAAGAAGAGGCTCAGCCTGTCACCAGTAGGCTCAGGAATAGCCTGTGACTGACCGCTGTGTCCCTGCCATTCTGCACTGCCACCAGCTGGCGGTGCAACGTTCCTGTCCTGAGGTTCCTGTCCTGAGGTGACCCCGTCACGCCACCTGGACTCTCAGAACACAGCCTTCTCTGAACAGAACCTTTGCAGATGTGACCAGGTAAGTGGGGTCAGCTGTGAATCCTACAGTGGGTGTGCTTTGAAGAGGGCAGAGAGACACAGAGCTCACGTGAAGAGGGACATGGAGATGGGGCAACATGGCCCCGAGGACTTTCTACAGCCATCAAAACTGGAAGAAGCAGGAAGGACTTTCCTCGGGAGCCTCCACAGGGAACAGGGTCCTGCTGCTGACACCTTGATTTCAGACTTCTGGCCTCCTCCACTTCTGCAGAACACAGTTCAGGTATTCTAAGCCATTACGTTTGTGGTGGTTTGTTCCTGCAGCCTTAGGGCTTTAACATAAATATCTTCATCTGTGATGTTATAAGGTGAGTACTTGGGCAGTGCTCAGCCTGTGCAACCATTCATGTTGGCTTTGCCACTGACCGTTTTTCCTCCTTGGAAGAGTCTCTTCTGGATGTCCAAGGATGCCACATCCTCCTGACTTCCTTCATCTTTGGTTTTTTTTTTTTGGTCTTTTTGAGACAGGGTCTCGCTGTACAGTTCAGGCTAGCCTTGAGCTCACTTTGTAGGCCAGGCTGGTCTCAAACTCATAACAATCCTCCTGCCTCAGCCTTCCGGATGCTGGGATTACAGGCATGTGCCACCACGCCCGGCTTCCCTCCTTCATCTTTGGTCTTGCCTGCTGGTCACTTTCATGGTTCTTCAAGGCTGTGGGGCTCCTGAGAGGATGGTCCCGAGCTCCACACAGCCCCTCCCAGATGCCTCCAGTTCCAGGCCTGCATCTCAGCTGCAGACCCTCTGTCCACTCCCTGCTTTGGCTCCTGTGAGCAAGCAACTCTTGACAATGTTCTCCAATCAGTACACCCCACCCCCTCCCCAGAAGGCCCATCAGCTCAGCCTTTGAGGACACTGTGGCATCTGCCCTCCTCATGGACCTCTCCTCCTCCTGGTCCCTGTCGCTCTCCTAACCTGTTGTCATTTCAGGACACCCAAGCTCCCTCAGCCCTTGGGGTGGAGATGTCTTACTCTGTTCTCTCACCCAGCTTCTCTGGGACCCCCTGGGGACTCTGCTGAGGGGTGGGGGCTGGAATCATCAGGAGTTTAGGGTCCCTGGGGGCCTCGCCTCCCTTGGTGACCGCTAAACACAGCTCTGCCCTGGCTTTCTCCCACCTTACTTCCCCTCCTGGGTTCACCCCTATGGAGGCACTGTGCAAACACCCACCTCAGCTGTGCTTCCAGGGACCCCTATTTTATGGTTTTTAGATGTCCCCCAAAAGTCTCCTGGGCTCATAGGCGGGGCTTTTGGAAAGTGACAGTGTAGGTGACTTGCTAGGTGGCGGGGTGTGGTTGGAAGAGGGGGTCATGGAGCGTGGCCTGGAAGGGTTTACTTCTCTTCCCAGCACTGCCCTTTCCTCTCTTCTTTCTGTCTGCCGTGAGGTAAGGCACTTTCCTCTGCGCAGGCCCTTCTGCTAGCTGCCAACCATGCAAGGACTGAAACTCTAAACGTATACCTCCTCTTTAAGCTGTATGTTAGGACTTTTTGTCCCAGCAATGAAGAAAGTAACTAAGACACCCTGAGATATCACCTTAGACCTCCGTCAGTGGCTCTTCTGACTGAAACCTGTCAGCTGTTCTCAATCCACAATGACGCTGAGTGTGACACTAGCCACCTTCCCAGGGCTCACACCATTGCCACTCAGCAGGGCCCCTGCACTCCACACGATTTGGACCCACTCCAGACCTTTCCAGGGCTGCAGTCCCACACTCAGTGCTAAGGTGGCCTCTGAGTCACACATCTTCAGGCCCAGCCTCACACTTCTTGGTTCTGACTGAGTAGATCAGGATGCCATGGAGCTGCTAGGAGGTGGCTGCAAGGGGCTGGTGGGAGGGATTGCTCTGTGATCTTGGACTTAATACTTTCTCGCTCCAGGACCTTCACAGCCAGAGGAGCTGGGGCTGGGGGTGCAGCTCAGTGGTACACACGTCTAGTAAGTGTGAGGCCCTGAGTCCATTTCCTGCACGCAAAAACTAATTCGAGCTGAACCAAATAAAAAACGACAACCACAGAACAGAAATGCAAAGGTAGTGGCAAAGTAGATCCCAGATTGAACCCCTTCCCCCGCACCAAGCTCCAACACACCCGTGTAAGTCCGCGCGGACTACAACTCCCAGAGTGCCCCGCGCCGGTGTCTCGGAAAGGGGCTGGGACCCGCGCGTGGCATATCGGGAGCTGTAGTCTGACCTAAACCCACTCTGCCCCGTCCTATGATCCAAACAGACTACAACTCCCAGAGTGCCCATGACAGCGCCGGGGCAGAGAGTGGGGTTCAACGCGAGACACGCCGGGAGTTGAAGTCCAGCCACAGTTGCCCTCCCCCGTCCCGCGCTGTTTCGCACCTCTGCGAGTGATGAGCCAGGCGAAGATGCCACAGTGCGCGGCCCAAGCGCTGCTGCTGCAGCAGAAGCTGTCCCGGGGGCTCTCCGGCGCCGCCGTTGGCCGGCGAGCGCAGGCCCATGTTCTCGAAGTAGTGCGCCAGAAAGGCGATGGGCTCCTCGGGGCGCGCCTCCAGCACCTTCAGCAGGGCCGCGCGCAGCATCTCTGTCACGCCGACCTGTCGCAGGAAGTCCTCCTCGCTCTCGACCGCTGCCGCAGTCCGGGACACCGACGGCCGGCCACTGTCCGTGAAACTGGCCGCCGGCGTCCCCACCGGCCGCCGCTTCTCCACTGCCGCCATCTTCGCTGAGGGCAGCGGGGCCGGAAGCGTCGCCGTATTCCACGGCACACAGAAGTCCCGGGACGGGCATCTTGGTTAAGGGCAGATATCACCTGGACACCCCTCTGCCCACCTGGGAGACTCCAGGAAGTAAAAGGTCGCCCTTTTCTCTAGGTCTAATCGGCATTGCCCTATGCTTGTCTTTGTAATACTGTACTGACTAGAACTCTCGGCTTTGGTCCTGAGCCAGAACTTTGCCAGATTCCAAAATGGCTCCCTAAGAAGGGTTTGATTTCTGGCATGAAGTCGTATTGCTTGCCATCTTGATAGTGGGCGAATCCTTCTGTAACATGGTCTCTTAGCAACCAGTCTCCTTAGGTACCACAGAAATCCAACCTAGCGAAGGAGGATGGATCCGCCCAGACTCCAGGAATGAACGCCACTTCTGAGTCCTCTTCATTTTTTTTTTTTTTTCCCCGAGTCCTCTTCAGATGCTGGCCGCAGCCTCTGGGCTTAGGTTAAGTTCGGCCCAGCTCTCAGCCTCTCCCTGTCTCCTTGTGAGTCCACAGCGCTGGGTTGGGGAGTCGGTCCTGACCCCATTTCTGCTACTCGGTCTAGCAGCCTGTGTTCGCAGTGTGCTGCCCCAGGCTGTTACTCTTCCTAACCACCAGATGGGGCGTTCTACCACCGATTGCTATAACTCTAAACTCTGCCGTGGCTCCCCAATGCCCATATCCCTCCTTTCCTGTCTGGAATCGCCAGCGCTTCAGCTGCTGATCTCATTTATAGCTGCTCTTTTACCCCTCCCAGTCCCTGCTCTCCCTAAAAACAAGCGATTTTCATTCCATAAGCCACCCGTCCATGTCTGCCCACATTACCCCCCACCAAACAATCCTCTAGTCCATTGGAGACTCCTAGTTTCTTGTTAGACTGCAGTGGCCCTCACACAGAAGCACGCATAAGCTTGGTGTCTCCCAGCCCAGCAGGCCCTGGTTTCCCCAGCCTGACCCCAGAGGATGTGTGGATGCCTGTCGCTGAGCCATCACCTCGTGCAGGGTACAATCAGAGATGTGCGGCGGTCCTGGCGTTCTCCCAACATGACAGGGGTCACCAGTGGTCAGAGCATGTGGCCTTTATTCTCCCGCAGCGGACCCTCAGGGCAGTGGGAACCCAGCCAGCTGTGGACAGGGGTCACAGGTGTTGGCCAGCAGGGAATGGGGCGCACAGTCAGCCCTGTCGTGGCCCAGATCCCTGCGGCTGGGTGGGGGCAGAGGCCGGCCACCTCTCGGAGTCCTGTACCAGCAGGAGCCCCAGACAGACAGGTGGGTGAGTGAGGTCCCTGGGAGCTGGCCAGAAATGTTTCCACAGGCGATAGGCGGCCAGGGCTAGTAGCAGCAGCAGCCCCAGCGCCACGCCGCCCATCCACAAGGCTGCGGGCGGCTGGACAACCTCAGGGCTGGACGCTGGAAGAGCAGGAGGAGAGTGCTCAGGGGCCTGGATGCCTCTGCAGGCTGCACAGCAGCCCACACCAACCCAGGGTCCGGAGGTCTCACTAGGGAGTCTCAGTGAACCTGCCCAAACGTAACCAGGGCCTTGCAGGCTAGAGCAGTCCAGCAGGGCGGCCACTGGCCAACGGCTGCATGTGACATGGAAAAGAACTGCCTGCACAGCCACGCCGTCTTTCCAGGACTTAGTGTGAAAAACTCAGAATGTTATAAAAAATAATGTGAAATACGCAGATTCGTACATTTCTATGTTTTCTCTCTCTTCTTTCCTTTTCCCTCTCATTCTCTTTGCAGTGCTGAGGATGGAACCGAGGGTCTCTGCACAGAGCTGTATCCCCAGTCCCTTTCAAACATCTTCTTTCGAGACAGGGTCTCACTAAATTGATAAGGTGCCGGTGCCCAGGCTGAGTTCAAATTTGTGATTTTCCTGCCTCAGCCTCCCACAGTGCTAGGATCATAGGCATGCACCGCCATGCCTAGCACTATTTCTTTTTTAGCTTTTTTTTTTTTTTTTGTCTTTTTGAGACAGGGTTTCACTGTGCACTTCAGGCTGGCCTTGAGCTCACTTTGTAGCCCAGGCTGGTCTCAAACTCATAGCGGTCCTCCTGTCTCAGCCTCCCAAGTGCTGGGATTACAGGTGTGTGCCACCACATCCGGCTTGTTTTTTTTTTTGTTTGTTTGTTTTGTTTTTGTCTTTTTGAGACAGGATTTCACTATGCAGTTCAGGCTGACCTTGAACTCACTTTGTAGCCCAGGCTGGCCTCAAACTTGAAGCAATCTTCCTGAGTGCTGGGATTACAGGCATGTGCCACCAAGCCCGGCTCCTGGCTCTATTTCTATTTTTGTTCTGTAGGTTGTCTTCCTAGTCTATAAAGCTCAGAATCTACAGAAATCTCTAGCCAAAGAAGCCTATTGGTCAGATGGGGAAACCAAGGCTGGTCAGGACAAGGTCATTTCTTGTCTAAAGTTACTGTTTGTTGTTTGTTTGAGACAGGGTCTCGTTATGTAGTTCAGACTGGCCTTGAACTCACTATGTAGCCCAGGCTGGCCTCAAAGTCGAAGCAATGCTCCTGCCTCAGCCTCCTGCACCCTGGGATCACATATGTGTGCCACTACACTGGGCTTGTCTAGTTTTGAACCCCAGGGAGTCCATCCCTCCCAGTCCCCACTCCTGGGCACCAGAACTCACAGGTACTTGGGACTGGATTCTGGCCATGCACGTATAGGCTGGCTACCTGGCCGCCAGGTTCCAGGCGGCACTGGAACCAGCCCTTGGGGGTGGGGCTGGTCAGCAGCGGTGCACTCAGCCATGCCCAGGCCCCAGCCTCCCTGCTCTCGTAGGCAGCCAGGCCCCCGGGGGCCAGGGTCCAGCGTACGGTCACACCGGGCCCGCAGGACGCCTGGCACAGCAGCCCCCAGCTGGCTGCCTTCTCCACTGCTGTTGGAGGGGCCTGGCGGATCTCAGGGCGACAGCTGTGGGCGCTGCTGGGGCTGGGCGAGGAGGCCTGCTCGGGGGCGCCCGGTGCGGAGGGGGAGTTGGGCGCCGTGGAGATGGAGCCGGGGTGCGCCGTGGAGATGGAGCTGGGATGCACCGTGGAGATGGAGCCGGGGTGCGCCGTGGAGATGGAGCCGGGGGGCTCCAGCGAGGTCAGAGTAGAGGCCTTCAGTGAGGTTGGGCCGGGGGTCTCTGGCGAGGATGGTTTGGGGTGTTCTGGAGTGCTCTGACTGCACAGGACTGAGACACAGAGCAGCCGTTTTTCCACTGCAGCCCCAGGCTCCTCTCCTTGAAGTGTCCCTGTCTGCATGGGGGTTGGGTCGGAGCCCTCCAAGCGCCCTCCCAGACTGCTCTGGTGACTCTGAACATCACAGCAGGCGTAAGCTGGGGGGGGGGGCGGTCCTGAGCTACCGCCCGCCCCCAACCTCCTCATCTATCTTCCTTTCTGTGCAGTCCTGGGGCCTTGTTCACCACTGAGCCATACCCCTGGCCCTTTTTTATTTTCTGAGATGGGGTTCTACTAAGTTGCCCAGGATGGGCTCAAATTTTGTATCGTCCTGCCTCAGCCTCCCAGAGGGCCAGGATGATAGGTATACCATCAGGCCTGGCTTGTAGGGTCTGTAAGCTGTAAGCTATAAGCTGCCCCTTTGTCGTGTCACCTGCCTCCCTTGCCTCTGGGGCCCAGTGCTCCCACTGGGACACCAAGGTCTCGGCCCACCCAGAATGCGCACACATCGGTCCCGTGAATGAATGCAGTGCCTGATGCGTGCAGGGTCCATTCCAGCTGCTGAGGACACTGCCCTGGGTGGGACACACAGATTGCCAGCTCTGTGAAGCCAACAGTGGGGGACAGATCGGGGGTCTAATGGGACACAGAGGACACCAGGTGTTGCTGCAGGGTGTGAAGAAACAAGAATGAGGGCACAGGTGTGTGGGGGCACACCTGGGGCTGGGGGTGGCCCTTTACCCAGGGAGCTCAGAGGCAGCCTCATCAAGGTCACATTGGAGCAAAGAGCCGAGAAAGTGAGGGGGAGGAGCCTCTGAGGGAGGTGAGCCTGGCAGAGGGTGCAGCCTGTGCAAAGGCCCTGCAGCAGGACAGAGGCTGGCTTGCGGGAGGGACAGCCGGGAGGCTGGTGTGACTGGAGCAGAAGGAGCTGGTTGTGCAGGGATCTTGTGGCCTGGGCAGCCTTTGACCCAAAGGAGGTGGGAGCCGGGGAGGGATGAGGGAGGCTGGCACCCCAGGGCACACAGAGCATAGGTACCAGGAAACATCTGTTGAATTAATGACTTGATCTCTGGCTGCCATAGTGTGGTGCGGTGAGGACGGAGTCTAGCCTTCCTGGTGCCCCCTGGGTTGGGCACCACCTGGGACACACAGGTGAGGGTGGGCACTGCGATGCGCTCGGGCTGGGGGCGGCCAGGAGCAATCTGCTCACCTGGAAGGGGCCGGCGGTGGCTCAGTTCCAGGCCGGGTAGCCGCATGGTGGCCTGGCAGTGCAGGGTGGCCGGGACGGGCATCCTCAGGGTGGGCAACAGCCAGCGCTGGGTCACTCGGAACAGCGGGTCCTGGGCCTCCAGGGACGCCTCCTCCTCCACCTGCTCCGGGTCCAGGACCTGGATGCCCTCCAGCTCCTGGTCCCCCCAGAGCAGGGAGAAGGAGAGGGTGTCTGGGCCCCAGGGTGTGACGTTGTGGGCCGAGCAAGCCACCTCCCTGTCCTGCCCAGGCTCCAGGACGGCGGGGGAAACGGTCAGCCGCTCCGGGAATGCTGTGGGCAGAGTGGGCCCAGCGGAGCCCTGATGTCAGGCTGGCTCGGGCGGAGCGGCTGGGGCACTGCGTGGGGGTGCTGCGCCAGGGTCTGGGGAGTGCAGGTGCGGAGGGCGGGGCCCTGGGGGAGGGTGGCCCCGGGGCTCACCGTACACCAGGACCTCCACGCGGTGCTGGAAGGTGCGGCCGCCGCAGGAGCCCGTGCACACGCGCATGCCTGCATCGTCCTGGGAGGCGCTGTGCAGCCAGAGCACGCTGCGGCCGGGCTCTGACCGCACGGCGCCCAGCCTGGTGTCCAGGCCCCGCCAGTGCACAGACGCCGTGCCGTCGGCACAGGCCAGGCTGCAGGTCAGCTTCTGCGCCGTGCCCAGGGCCACCGGCACCACCGGCTCCGGGGGCTCCACGAGCAGGGGCTGGCCTGTGGGGACACGTGCTCGGCCGCAGGCCCACCCAGCCCGACCCCACCCAGTGCCGCCGCTGGAGCCCCAGGCCTCCCCATTCTGCATTTCCCTGAGCCCCCTCCCTCCCCTGCACCCCCGCTCCCGCTCACCCTCGCCTGGCCGCGGCAGCCCCAGCCCCAGCGCCAGCAGCAGCTCGAGGCACCACAGCATCCTGTCCTTGTGTCTGCCACCGTGGCAGGCAGCGGTTTAAGTAGTGTGCCTGGGCCTCTCCGCCCCGCCCGCTGCCCCGGGGGTTCCCAAGGGGCTTTCCCGGCCTGCCCCCGGCCCAGGCAGGCTGCAGAGGAGAGGAGGGCCCGGCCGGGTCAGAACTGGTGGGGCGGGAACGCCTGGTCGGGCTCCAGGTGTCCTCCCCTGCGGGGCGGGAGGACGGGGACAGGGACGAGGACTCTGGAGAGCGGGCCAGCATCCTCTGGGATGAGGGGGTCCAGGGCTGGGGCCTCTGTGGAGCTGGGACAAGTCTCCAGCTGGCCACCTTCCCTGTCGCACAGGGAGACAGTGTGGGGTCTACAGAGGGGCCTGGGCAGGATCCTGGCCAGGCAGCTGCCACCGCCCGGCCCAGAAACACCTTTCTCACGTGTGCAGCCCATCTGGCCTCTCCCTGTTCTGTTTCCCCCCTGCCTTTGTGGCTTGTTACTCACACAGGTCCAGGGTGGCATCAGGTGCACACGGACACTGGGATGCCGTGAGAGACCATCTGGACCCCGCACACCAGCCCCCTCAGGCAGCCACAGGGCCTTTGCACAGGCAGTGGCTGCCCCTGCTCAGCCTCTGCCCACCCTCCATACCCCCTCCTGGCTTTCTCCAGGAGTGCTGTCCACTGGGGCTTTGCCCAGCCCCGGCTGTAGACGCGAAATCCATCTTGGGAAGTGGAGCTGCTCTGCTGTGGTCCCTCTGACCCCAGCACATAGGAAGAAAAGTACGGATTGGTCCAGGTTTGGCTTCAGATGACCCAGGTGGTCTGTCTGTGCCTCAGTCTCCCTTGGGTATGGGTATGGGATAAAGGAAGGCAACCAGACAACATGGGCCCAGGTGCTTTGTCAGAGGCAGAAATTGAGGCCCAGGAGAGGTTGGAAGCAGAAGGGGGAAACTGAGGCCCAGAGAGAGGGGCCTGGGTCTGAGGCTGTGAATCTGGGCTGTGGCTCCTGCGGTCCCCTCCCCCGCGCCAGCATGGTGCCGGAAGCCGGCACAGGAAGACAGCTCCAAGGAGCAGGCCCTCCCCGGGAAGCTGGGCCCTTAACCTGGGTGGGGGGCTGGAGAATGGTTGCTTCCCAGCCCCTGACCCCACTTCCTGCTGCTCCCTAGGCCGACACCAAAGGGCAGGCAGGGAGGGCTCAGCAGGCGCCGGGCGGGCTGAGGCCAGGGTAGGTCTGTCCCACCCGGCCCTGCCTGGGCAGTCATAGCGCTCAGTCCAGATCCTGCCTGTGTGACAGCAAGGGACACACACACACACACACACACACACACACACACACACAGAGGCACACGCGTGTGTGGTGGCCAGGAGGGGTCAGGTGGGCAGGGTCCGTGAGGTGCTCCGGGCAGAGGGGCCAGTGAGGGCAAAGGGTTGGCGCTAGGGACAGGGACAGAGAGAAAGAGACACAGACGGAGACAGAAATTGACAAGGAAACGTGGATGGAGACAGAGAGATGGAGACTTGGACAGACAGAGTCAGGGATGAGAAAGACAAACAGACAGACAGATAGACAGAGACATATCCCGGAGTGTGGTAGCGCACGCTTATGATCCCAACACTTGGAAGGCTGAGGCAAGAGGATTGCTGGAAATTCGAGGTCCGCTTGGGCTACATAGTGAGTTTAAGGCTGGCTTCGCTATATAGTGAGACCCTGTCTCAAAAAAAAAACAAACCAAACCACAACAAAAAAAAAAAAAAAAAAAAAAAAAAGAAAAGAAAAGAAAGAAGAGAGGTGACAGAGAGATGGGGCAAAGGGGACGGCCAGGGAGATAGGGACGCAGTGAGGCTTGGCTGTGGACCTGGTGGTCCGAGGAGACCACGAGGAGCTGGGCCGCTGGTGCCTCGCCCTCGCCCTCGCCGTCACCCTTTCTGCCCACCTGGGCGCCTTTCCTGGCTTCCTGTGCCCGGCCCCCACCTTCCCGGCACAGTCCTGCCCCGGGAAGTCCTTGCGACGGCAGGAAGCCTCCTTCCCAGGGAGAGTCCAGGCCCCAGCCCCACATCCGGCCTGCGTGCGGAGCGTCCCAAGGCCACCTGGCTCGGCATCAAAGGTCCCCCCTCCAGGTTTTGGGTCCGCGGGGCTCATTCAGATTGGGCTTCGGGCCCTGGGCCTGAGGAGGGCGGGGGTGAGATGGAGATCAGGCTGTGAGAGGGCGCATGGTTTCTGAAGTTCATGGTTGGTGTGGCCGTGCTGACACTGCGCAGGCCCAACCGGCTGTATGGGCCACCGGGGAGTGGGGAGGGCTGGGCTCCCAGAGCTCTGGGGTCCCCCGACTGCTCCAGCTCAGCCCTGTGTCACCTACAGAGGGGCTGAGGGCCTGGCGGGGGGCTGACAAGGGGCCGAGGTAGGCAGGCCACAGCTGAGGTACTGGGGCTCTGTCTACCCTCCCTCAGGACCTTCCCAGTCCCTGCCCTTGCTAAGCCCCGGCTCTGCCTCCTCACCAGCCCCTGCCCAGTTGGGGCAAGACGTCTGCCCGTCTCCCTGAGAGCCCACCGCCCCTTTCTCTGCTGCAGAGCTGCTGCCCTCTGGGGACCATCCCAGCCCCGCCATGTCCCATGGCCTGCTGCCCATACCTCACAGCCCTGCGTGTGCCTGTACACAGCCTGGACCCCAATCCAGCCCCAGTGGTCACCTCCTCTCCCCGCCGGCGGGCCTCTCCTGTCACCCAGTCCCTGGTCCGGGGGTGATGCCTGAGACTCTCTCTGGGCCTCATCCATCCCCTGGTCCTCGTCACCACCTTGCCTGGCCCTTAGTGGACTCGCTGAGAAGGGGTCCCAGGACATGTACTCGGGCTGTGACTTGGCCTCCACAGAGACAAGGAAAGCCACGTGCAGCCTGAGGCAAGTCGTACCTCCGGTGTGTCACCATAGTCCCATGCCAGGTAGGTGCCGATGGCCGGGCTGATCATCAGCTGGGGGCTGGCTCACGTAGTGCACAGCTGGGCCCCAGATAGGGCTCACAGCCTGCGGGATGGCCAGGTGTGGGTGCCCACATGATAACTGCTGTCACTGGGGGCCCCCAGAGAGGATCCCAAGGCCATTCCGCTGGGGCCCCTGTCCCTATCTGGGCAAAGACTGGTGAGTTGCCAGACCCTCTGTGCCTGGTGAGTTGGGGCCGGGCTCTGGAGTTGAGGACCCCTGTACCCCGAGAGGCCTCCCCTGGTCGAACCTCATCCCACCAGGGGTGGTGACAGGAGCGAGGCTCTGGGTGAGCCGAGTTGTCCCTCAGGGGCGGTGGACCCACTGAGAGGTGGTCCCAGGGGTAAGGAGCCTTAAGCTTACCCCCTCCCAGGGGTAAGGAGCCTTAAGGGCCTGGGGTCTTGGGACAGCTTGAGATGGGAGAGTCCAGACCCCACGCTGAGGGTGGGAACCTTGCTGGAGTCAGTTGTGTCCCCAAAGCTCAGGTGCACCCAGAGCCTGTTCAAACGGTCATGCTCGGAAACACAGTCTCTGCAGATGTAGTTGGTTCGATGAAGTCTGAGTAGGTGGCCCTGGTGTCCTCTGGAGAGATGGACACAGGGTGATAGCTGTATGACGACAGAAGCAGGACTGGAGTGACAGGGTCACATCCAAGGGACTCCTGGGACCGCAGGGAGTGGAGTACTTGTTCAGGGTGGATAATGATAAGGCAGAGGTGCTGGTACAGTGTCCGCAGTTTCCCCTGCACACCTCATGGATCTGTGTATAGAGCAGGTGCAGGGTGAGGGAGCAAGCAGAACACAGCTGGAGGAGCCGAGCCCAGGGCAAGAAGCTCTTCAGATTTAGCCAGGCCTGCTGGCACACATCTGTAATTCCAGCATTCTGGGAGGCTGAGGCAGGAGAATTTCAAATTTGAGGCCAGCCCGGGCAACTTAGCAAAGCCCTGTCTCAAAGTAAAAAATGTAAAAAGACCTGAGGATGTAGCTCAGGGCAAAGGCCCTCAATTCAATCCCCAGTACTGGAAAAAAAATACAAAGTACTTATGGATAAACTGACAAAGGCTGAGGTAGGAGTATTGCTTCAAGTTTGAGGCCAGCCTGGACTACATAGTGAATTCAAGACCAGCCTGAAGTACATGGCAAGACTCTGTCTTGAACCTAGAATAGCAAAGGCAATTCTGGGCAACAAAAGCAAGGCAAGGGGCATCATAATCCCTGACTTGAAATGATACTACAAAGCTACTGTGATAAAAACAGCATGATACTGGCAAAAACACAGACTTGAGAATCAGTGGAACAGTTTGGAAGATGCAGAAACAATTCCATACACACTCAGCCACCTGATCTCTAACAAAAGAGCCAAACACCTTCACTGGAAGAAAGATAGCTTTTTTAATAAATGGTGCTGGAAAAACTGGCTTTCCACAGGCTGAAGATTAAAATTAGACTCTTATTTCTCAGCATGAAGTAAACTAAAATTGAAATGGATCAAAGATCTAAATATTAAAATAGAAACACTAAATCTCCTGGAAGATAGAATAGGCAGGACTATTCAAGACACTGGTGCAGGCAAAGATTTCATGAACAAAACCCCGATCATACAGGTAATATCACAAAGAATCAGCAACTGGAATCTCATTTTATTAAAAAGCTTTTGTACAGCAAGAGAAACCACCAACAGAGTGAAGAGACAATCCACAGTATGGGAAAAAAATTTTTGCCAGCTGTTCCTCAGACAAAGGATTACTATTGAGAATATATAAAGAACTCAAAAAAATCAGACCCCTCAAATTTAAAGACCCAATCCAAAAATGGTCATTTGAGATGAATACACACTTCTCAGATGAAGAAATACAAACAGTAAATAAATATATGAAAAAAGTATATGAAAATATATGAACATCATTGGTCATTTGAGAGATACAAAGTAGGATAACACTGAGATTCCATCTCACTCCAGAACAAATGGCTATCAAGAAATCAACCAATAACAAATGCTGATGAGGCTGTGCGGAAAAAGGAACCCTACTCCACTGTTGTTGGGAGTGCAGACTGGTGCAACCACTGTGGAAATCAGTGTGGAAATTCCTCAAAAAACTAAAACTAGAGGTTCCATTCGACCCAGCTATTCCCCTTCTTGGTTTCTTCCCAAAAGAGAAGCATTGTAACACAGCGATATATGCACACCTACTATTATAGTGACACAGTTTGTAATAGCCAAATCTTGGAAACAACCCATCAACTGGTGAACAGATAAAGAAGATGTGGTTTTTTTATACAATGGAGTACTACTCTGCCAAAAAGAAATATATGCTTGAGACATTTCTAGAAAAATGGATGCACCTTAAGTCTATATTCTTAATTTTTTTTTGAGACAGGGTTTTGCTATGTAGTTCAGATTGGCCTATACTCACTATGTTGCCCAGGCCGGCCTTGAACTCACTTCGATCCTCCTGCCTCAGCCTCCTGAGTACTAGGATTACAAGCATGTACCACCATGCCTGGTTCCATACTCTTAAGTGAAATAAACTAGATATACATATGTAAATACCACATTGGTTCTCTGGTGTGAGACACCAAAAGTGTAAATGAGGACCAAAATGCATGATAGATATTGTGAAATAGGAAGAAATGTTCAAATGGGAAGGGGAACTAGGGAGGGGGGAGGGGGAAAGGAAGGAAGGGAAAAGAAAAAAAAAGGAAAAAGTGGAAACAAAGCTTTTGTAAATAAGGAGGGGAAGAGGGATTGAAGGGAAGGGAATGGAAAAAAAAAGAATCAAGATATATTATGTACAGGTCCAAATTCCCTACGATGAATGTGATCATTGTGTATACTTAAAATGTACCGATAAACTGAATTAAATAAAAAAGACCTGTCTCAAAGACAAATGACAAGAGGTATTCAAGAATAGGGCATAGTGGTGCACATGTCACCCAGGTCTTTGGGAGGCTGAGGCAGGAAGATCAAAAGTTCGAGCCCAACCTAGACAACTTGGTAAGATCTTGTGTCAAAATAAAAAAAGCGCTGGGCTGGTGTAGCTCAGTGGGAAGGCCCCGAGTTCAGTCCGAAGTACCGTCAACCCCCAGAAAGATACATGGTGGTTTTTTTTTGTTTTTTTTTTGGTTTTTCTCTGGTACCAGGAACCGAACTCACGACCTTGCGCTTGCCAGGCAGGCGCTTTGCCGCTGAGCTAAATCCCCAGCCCTGATACATGGTGTTTGATAATTCACAAGATTTGTTTTAAATTTAATTTAATTTTATTATTATGTCACCCATTTCCCTTCCTCTTTGCAGTGTGGCTTCTGGGCCCCTGCGGTTACTGTCTGCTGGGCAGCCCCAGGCTCGGGACTGTGTGGCCCACCTGAACACCCAGGGTACCCGCTCTGTGGCTGGACAGGAGTGCCGGGGGCCACCTCCTGCAGACGTGGCCGCCCCTGGCCCGGAGGGCGCCTACAAGGGCCGAAAGGCCTTTCAGGGCGGGTTTCCTCAACCCGGAGTCTTCCTGCTGTTCCCAAGTGCGGGACAGAGGGTCTCACCGGGGCCCCAGTTCTGATCCGACAGGACACAGGCGATGTTTCAGGACATTGGTGGTCGTCACGGCTGGGGGCCTCCTGTAAGAAGCTGGTGGAGGCCAGGGACTCTGCTCAGCACCCTGCAGCGCCCCATGTAGGTGGATGGAAAGGCCCTGGGCGCTCTGGGGGAGAGGAGGTACTGGGAGAGGTGGATAAACAGGGCTCCCGACTATAAGGGGGGCTGGGCTGAGGGTCAGACACCCACAAAGCACAGGAGATGGCTAGGGATGCCCCCGGTGGGTTTCAGTGCAGGGCGGGGCCTGCACCCCAGTAGGGTGAGAGCCAGGGTGCTGGGGTCTGGGCTGAAGAGCAAGCTCAGAGCGGGACAGGGAGGAGCTGGGGGCACTGGAGGGTTGGGGAAGCAGGCTGCACCCCCCCAGCGTGGGAGGAACCTACCGGGTTCCTGGGTGGAGCTCAGGGTGTGTGTGGGGGGTCAGGGCCACGATCAGAGCCCGGGTTGAGGGTCCGGGTTGGCACTCAGCAAGCCCGATCTGCCAGGCCTCCGAGACCCGCCTCTTTGCCCCCCCTACGCTCCCCCTTGATAGGCCCCGCCCCTCCTCGCTCTGTTCCCGGCCCCCCCCGCAGCGTTTAGCCCCGCCCTGCACACTCACACCCCGCCTCGGTGCATAGGCCCCACCCCTTCGCTCCCGCCCCACTGAGCAGCACAGTGCTCCGCCCCCTACACGCAGGACCCGCCCCCTCGCGGGCCCAGACTTACTCCTCCATCCAGTACCCCACCCCTTCCACTTGTGCTCGGCCCCTGTGCGCAGGCGCCCCTCCCGGGCCCTGAGTCGCAGCAGCCTCCGCCCGACTCTTCGCTCCCGCGGGTCCGGGGCTCTCAACGTCCCCACAAGGCGTCGCTCGCCGCTCGGTGGCTGCACTCGCCGGCAGAAAGGACAGGCCCCAGGAGGGTCTGTCGAGGCTGCAGAAGGCTACGGGACAGCCACTGTCATGCTCCAGTCGCCCCCGGTTCTCTCCTCGAGAAATTGTGTCCACCTTGGTGCTCTGAGCGCCCAGACACCCCACCACCCGCCCGGTGCTAGACGGTCTTGTTCCTGGCTTGGAGGTCATAGGCGCTTGGTGAATGCGCGCACCAGAGAAGAGCGTTACCAGAAACCAGAATCATGGACCACATGCTGATGATCTTCCCACGGGGGCGGGTTGCATCGCGGGGGAGCTGGCGTTATGGAGCTACAGGCTGGGGCCATGTTGCCAAGGCTGGGATCCTGTTGCTAGGGACTGAGATCATGTTGCCAAGACTGGTTTCCTGTTGCTAGGGGTTGAGATCACGTTGCCAAGGTTGGGCTCCTGTTGCTAGGGGCTGAGATCCTGTTGCCAGGGCTGGGGCCCTGTTGCTAGGGTCTAGAACTACGTTGCCAGGGCTGGGATGCTGTTGCTAGGGGCTGGGATCATGTTGATAAGTCTGGGACCCTGTTGCTAGGGAGCTGGGCTCTATTGCTTGTGGCTGGATCTTGTTGCCAAGGCTGATGTTCTGTTGCTAGGGAGCTAGGATTATGATAACAAGGGTCCCATTACTAGGGAGCTGGGATTATGATAACAAGGGTCCCATTGCTAGGGAGCTGGGATTATGATGGCAGGGTCTTGTTGGCAGGCTCCAGGCCTCGGCGCTAGGATGAACCATGTGCTGGGCCCTGGCTTTAGTGCTTGCATGGTGAGGGGATGGTGTTGGGAACTCGAGTGCTTTACTTAGGGCTTGGAGGGTATTCTGGGATTGGCCAAATGGTGGTGGAAGTTGGGGTCCTGTTGGAAGTGATGGTTTTGTGGTGAGGACCCTGGATATTTTAGAGTCTGAGAGCATTTGAGGTCACTCATTAACTCAAAACAATTTTTTTCTTTTTTGCGGTACAGGCATTGAACTTAGCCTTTACACTGAACTACATCTCCAGCCCTTTTTATTTTTTTTTATTTTGAGACAGGGTTTTGCTAAATTGCTCAGGCTGGGCTTGAACTTGGGATTCTCCTGCCTCATCAGGATCACAGGCATGCAGGGCTAACATGAACACATATTTATTGAATGCCCGCTGTATGCCAAGCATTGTTCTAGGTGCTAAGGAGCATGCAGTGCATAGATCCCTGGTAGAAGAACGGATGTTCTAAGGCAGGAGGACTTTGAACACTATGGCAGTCAGCTTTCTGTGACTATAATGAATAGGTATAATAGGTAATCAACATATTAAGAGAAAAGGTTATTTTGGGTTAGGGTTTTGGAAGTCCCAGTCCATCCATGATAAGTTGCCCTGTTGCTTTTGGACGTGTGGAGCAGCAGCACATCGTGGTGGGAGCACATGGAAGAGCAGGCTGTTCTCCTTATGGTGCAAGCAAAAGTGAGACACAGAGGGAGAGCCTGGAGTCCCACGATCCCCTTTGAGAACATGCCCTCCAGTGACCCAAAGGCCTGCCATTAGCCCCCACCTCTTCCTCCTTTTTTTTCTTTTCCATACTGGGAATTGAACCAAGGGCCTTTGCATGAGCTGTATCCCCAGCCCTTTTTTAGTTTTTATTTTGAGACAGGATCACGCTAAGTTGGCCAGGCTGGGCCTGAATGATCCTCCTGTCTGAGCCTCTCAGCGCGGTGGGATGACGGGTGTGTGCCATCATCCCTGACAAGACCCTGCCTCTTTAAGTTTCCGCCACTCCAGGGGCCAAACCTTTAACAGAGGGTCATTTGGGGGGCACTCAGGACCGAAAGCCTGCAAACCCTAAGCATCATAAACAAGCAGTGCTGTGCTGATAAACCCTAAGGACTGGTTCTCCTGATCTGGAGCCTGCGCCAATTCCTGTGGTGTAAATACATCTGGCATGGCCAACCGCCAGCTGCCAGTGTGGCAGCAGCCAGCTCACGAGCTTGCCCCATTATCTCAGCTCTTGCGGCTCTGCCCACCCTCCTGCAGCAGGCCGCTGCCACACTGTTCACTGGGGAGACGTGGGACTGCGGGAGAGAGACCACCAGCCCCGTCATCTTCAGCACATGAGCCCCCCTTTCCTCCTGACCTCGATACCCTGTCTGTAAAGGGTGGACTTGCAGTAGGCATGTGGTCATGCCCATCGTCCCAGCACTCTGGGAGGCTGAGGCAGGAGGATTGCAAATTCTAGCCTAGCCTGGGCAACTGAGTGATTTAGTGAGACCCTATTTCAACAATAAAAGCAAAGAAAGAGCTGGGGATGTAGCTCCGTGGGAAGGCCCTGGCTTCAGTGGCCAGGATCACAGAAAAAAGGGGGCCTTGCCAGCTTGGAGCCCCAGTTCTGGCCCTGCTGTGGTCCTCACTGACCTTCGTGGATGGCAGCTCTTTCTGGGAGGGCAGGAGAGGAGCCCAGCAGGTTCTCTGTGTCCTTGGGGGAGTGGTGGGGAGGACAAGGCTCCCTTGTTTGAGTCCCTGTGGGACAGAGGGGCAGGCGGCCACCGAGGCATGTGGGTGTGAGTCAGGCGACTGGCTGCCAGATGGAGGACAAAGGCTGGCGGCCCCCAGGGAGGCGGAAGTGACAGATCCTGGCGGCTGGGGGTCAGAGGCAGAGCTGGCCCTGGGCGTGGGAGGCGCCACCTGTGAGTGTCCTCCCACATCTTGCTGCTGCTGTGTGCTAGGACACAGGGAACAGCAGGTCCCCCGAGAAACCTGGCCTCCTGGAAGAAACATCCTTGCTTGTGCACCTTAAGATGTGTTTCTAGAAACATGGGGGCTAGCTGGGCACTGCGGTTCGTGCCTGTCATCTCAGCACTCTGAGGCTGAGGCAGGAAGATCTCAAGTTCCAGCCCAGCCTAGGCAACGTAGTGACTTAGCGAGACCCTCTCTCAAAATAAAAAATAAAAAGGGTCTGGAATGGAGCTCAGTGGGGTCTCTGTGCCACCCCAGTATAGTACTGCAGCCTAGGGTACGGGGTTGGGAACAAGAGCCCTGGCTCTGCCCACGCCCCTGTGCCCCTGTGCGTGCATGTGTGTACCATGTGTGCGTGACCCGTGTGTGTGTGAACCGTGTGTGCATGACCCATGTGTGAACCATGTGTTCGTGCACATGCGTGCACACGTGAGTTGCACGGAGTAGTGTGCTGCAGGCGGCCGATGAGTCTGAGCCAGCGCCTGCTGAGATGAGGAGGAGCCCGTCCTCCCACAGGACCCCGGGCCAGGCTTGGGTGTGCTTGGCCCCTCCGTCTGTACCTCTTTTTCCCCTCCCCATATCTGTAAGACCCCTGGGATTTTGCCCCTAGAACATCCGGTATCCACCACATCTTGCTGTCCCCAGCCATCCGGGTGCATTGTGTGCCACCGGTGTCCCCATGTCCACCTCCTGACCCCAGACCATTCTCCACAGTGACCAGAGGGACCCTGTTAGATCCAGCTTGATTGTCCCCCTCTCTGGTGCCAGGACCCTGTGCTCCCGCCTTGACTGGGGAAACCCAAAGTCTTCCTTCAGTCTTCACCACAGAGCTGGCTGTGGTGGCTCACGCCTGTAATCCCAGCACTTGGGAGGCTGAGGCAGGAGGATCATTGTGAGTTTGAACCCACAAAGTGAGTTCAAGGCCAGCCTGAACTGCATAGCGAGACCCTGTCTCAAAAAGACAAAAAAAGAAAAACAAAACCCCAAAACCCGAAGTCTTCCTTCAGGCCATTGCTAGAATTTCTCTTCCTGGTGACCTGACCAGAAGCTCCACCTTTGTCCTGACGGAAGCAGGAGGGTGGCAGGCAGAGAGAGGTCCAAGACGCAGCACTGCCGGCTCTGCAGATGGAGGAAGGGGCTGCAAGCTGGGGGTTACGGACACCTGTAGGACCCAGGACAGGGACCCAGGTTCTCCCCGGAGGCTTGGGAGGAGTGCCCTGCTGCCCACAGCTGGAGTTCAGTCCACACCTTCTGAAGTCCTAGTCCAGCATGGTGGCGCCCACCTGTAATCCCAGCACTCGGGAGGCTGAGGCAGGAGGATTGCTGCAAGTTCAAGGCCAGCCTGGGCTACATAGTGAGACCCTGTCAAAAATAAAAATAAACCCATGCTGAAGACCTAACTCCCAGTATCTGTGAATACTGCCTCACTTAAAAATAGGGCCTTTGCAAACAAAGAAGCAAATTAAAACGAGTTTGTACTGGATTAGAGCGATTCCTATGCAGTGTTTTCATCTTCTATTTTTCTTTTTTTGTTTTTTTTTTTGGTTTTTCTCCGGTACCGGGAACCGAACTCACGACCTTGCGCTTGCCAGCCAGGCGCTTTGCCGCTGAGCTAAATCCCCAGCCCCCTCATCTTCTATTTTTCTTTAAGGTTTTTTGAGACAGTATCACTATGCAGTCCAGGCTGGCCTCAAACTCATGGTGATCCTCCTGCTTCAGCCTCCTGAGTGTTGGAATGACAGGTGTGCACCACCACACCCAGATGTATTTTGTGTCTTAAAACAAGAGTGGGAATTTTGGAACACAGAGACACAGAGAAGAAAGGCAGGCAGAGACAGAGGTAGAGGTTGAAGCCGTGCAGTACACCAAGCCAGCAGAAACTGGAGGAAGCAAGGAAGGGTTTCAGAGGGAGCTCAGCCCTGCTGACACCTTGAGTACGGACTTCTGGCCTTTAGAGCAGTGGGAGGAGAAATTCCCATTGTTGAAGACAGTCAGTCACCATAGTTAGCTGTGGTGGTCCTAGGACAGGTATAAAAGGGCTTTCTTGCTGGGCTCTAAGGAGTGCATAAGAGTTTGGTGGGTAGAAAAAGGAAGACAAAGGCATTTCATGGATACCGTGTGGCCCTGGTCCTTGTCCACATTGCTGGATGGACCGGTCCCCTTGACAACGGCGCCTCATTCTCGCTGGGGCTGCTGAGTGTTACAGGGGCTGTGTGCGGCACCTCTGCCTGAGTTTCCCCCTCCACACCATAGGCACATGGTGTCTTGGTCTAGGGGATACAAGGATGGGCTCAGGCTCCCCCTGCCCTGCTCCAGGGAGGGCACCTCCTGGCCCCTGCCCTGTCGGATACAAAACCCACCCAGGATCGGCCACAGATCACTACCCAGACCCGCCGCAGCGTGGGCACCTTCCTTGAAACCTACTGTCCCCTCAGTGACCCCCAGACCCAGGTTTCTAGAGCCCACTCAACATGGCAGCTGGGCCAGCTTTGCAACCTGGCTTCCCAAGCACTGCCAACGTGCCTGGCACAGGGTCAGCCCCGGCCAGCGTCCTTCACCATGCACCCTACCACACTGGCCTCATCCTGTGTTCTAGGGAGACCATTATGACATTTTAAAAAAAGCCAGGCACGACAGCCCACACCTGGCCTCCCAGTACTTGAGAGGCTAAGGCAGGAGGATCAAAAGTTTGAGGCCACGGGGGCTGGGGATTTAGCTCAGCGGCAAAGCGCCTGCCTGGCAAGCGCAAGGTCGTGAGTTCGGTTCCCGGTACCGGAGAAAAACCAAAAAAAAAAAAACAAAAACAAAAACAAAAAGTTTGAGGCCAGCCTGTCTCAAAATTAAAAAAAAAGAAAAAGAAATATGGGTGGGGCTGGAGCTCAGTGCAAAGGCCCTGGATTCCATCCGCATACTGAAAGAAAAAACCCGAAAAAAAAATAAAAAACCCGAAACAACAAAAAAACACAGACAGCCTCACTGAGCCAGTTCATCTCCACCACCAAGTCCAACGTGAAACACACACGCCTGTGTCCTCCTTGCACCTATGCGTGTGCACACCTGGTCTCACCGCAACTCGTACTTCTTTCTGTGGAGCACAAAGTATCTGCCAGCCGTCCATGAGCACGAGGACTCTGTGTTTCTGCTTGGAATATATTTGCTGCTGCGATCACTACAACTAATGACGAACTCATGCTTCAAACAACACAGGTTTATTAGCTTCTGTCTCCCTACGTCCAGACGCCGACTCAAGCCTCTCAGGATATAGAGCCAGGTGTGGTGGCGCACGCCTGTCATCCCAGCACTCAGGAGGCTGAGGCAGGAGGACTGTTGTGAGTTCAAGGTCAGTACAGGCTACACAGAGGTCAAAACCAGTCAAAACTACATATCGAACAAAACAAAACAAAACAAATCCAACACGCAGCAAAAGACTTATCACACAGCCCTGTCTTCCACACCAAGCCTTGTCTCCCAGCAGAAGCTGCCAAACCTCCACGTTAGGTCATTGTCACCCAGGGGTTCAAAGCTGGCATTATGGGTCACTCGGCATTGCGTATGCTTCGAGCCGGACAAAAGTGTGATGCGGTTGGCACACACCAGTCCTGGAGAGCCCCAGCTCCCACGGGTCCCTCAGTCCAGGAGAAACTCTTGGAGAGCGCAGTGCGTCTGGCTGCAGAAGCGACCCAGACAGACCCACAGCTCGCTTTCCCTCTCACGGACGAGGCTGGGGCCACTGTCCTCCTGTCTTCCTCACATGACCCTCCAGCACCCTCCAGCCGCCCATCCTTCTCCATCACCCCCATCCACTTCCCATCATCCTCCACAACCTCCGTCTCCACCGTCACACTCCGTTGCCTGGGCATCATCGTCCGTCCCTCACCTGTCCGCCTCTATCACCCCATCACCTCCACCCTCCCATCATATTCGTTATCCTCGCATCACCCCATCACTGCCCATCACCCCCATCACTGCCCGTGGCCGCCATCACTGCCCATCGCCGCCATCACTGCCCATCGCCGCCATGACTTCTCATCCTCTGTCATCTCCCATCATCCTCCATCATCCCCCACCATCCTTCAGCCTCCTCTCATCACCCTCCCACCCTCCTGCACCGTTCTCCGCCACCCTCCCGTCATTCCTCCTATCACCCCTCCATCATGCTCCTGCCATCTTCCCGTCTCTGTCTCTTCATCTTCCCATTGTCCCTGAGTCTTCATCCCAACATCTCGGACCTGCTCGGTTATCTCACTCCCGGTGCTGCCACGGTGTGTTCTTCCCATCGCCACCAGAGGGCGCCTGGGAGCATTGGCGTCGGGCTGATCCCTCCTTTGCCCACAGCCCTTTTTGAACTCCTCCTCCCTCGGAGTCAAAGCCAAATCCTTAAGTGGCCCCAGGGCCTTTGGATGGCTCCCTATTCTGCTTGGAACAGAATATCTCCTGGAGGCCCCCTACCCCGCTTCAGGGATTTGTGCAGTGTGTCCTCGGGCGGCTTCCCCTGACCTCCCCATCCCACGGTGCAGTTCTTCCATGCCTCGGTGCTTCCTCTGTTCCCCGCAGGTGGGCTCCACGGAACTGGCCGGAGCCTTGCCCCTGCGCCCTGGCCCTGGTCCGGCTGCTCTTTCTGCGGACGGATGGCCGGGACTGACCAGGAGGCTCTGGAGTGCTGGGGTCACAGGCGTGCGGCACCACATGTGGCCATGACTCTGATCCAGTATCAGCCATCAGCAGAGGCGGGGACACAGACCTGTGCAACACACACGTGTGCGGGGCCGATGTCCGCCCTGGTGGGTGTCAGGGAGGCGGCGGCGTGTCCTGGGAGACCGTGTGCAGCTGCAGCACCCCAACCCCTCTGACTCGTGCAGTTTCCTTGTCGCTACTTTCCCTGTTCGTGTCATCGCCTCTGTCGAGCATCAGACCTGATCTGTCGGTTTCTGGCGGTCCCACCACCCCACACAGAGCCCGGCGCACAGTAGGTGCTCAGTAAGTGCTTGCTGTGTGCGTGAGAGAAGCAACAGCTGAACGAAGGCTTCTCTGCCGGGTGCTGCTTGACCTGGATGAGCAACTTCAGGCTGCGGGGACGGGGGTGACCGCGATGTCCTTGCAGCCCCCTTGCTTTAGGAGCTCCGTGCTCTGGGGCGTCTCCCCGGGGACCTGCTCTGCTGACACCGGATTCTTCCCTGGACGCCCGGCCACATGGCCGACACTCGATCCTAGCCCACTTCCAGGCCAGCGTCCGGCCGGTCAGCCCGGCTTGGGCCTGGGACAAGGGGCTGTCTGTGCGGCGGCAGGAGGTGTGGCGAGGCCGGGCGCTGCCAGCCGTGGATCCGGGACAGGGAGCGCGAGCCGCAAGGACTGGGGACAGCGCCCAGGCCCCGGGTGCCCGAGCTGCGGCGTGGAGACGCCCGGGCCCCTCACCCGCCATGGGGACCCTGCGGAAGCCCTTGGGGGACGGTGCGTGCCGGCAGGCGCGGGCGGGGGCGGCCTCCGTTTCCCTCGTGCAGGATGGGCGGGTGCGGGGGAGGGAACAGCGGGGCAGGAGGCAGGAGGGGCTGCCGGGATGGGGGCACCGAGGTCAGGGGCGACGCCTGCGCTTGTCCCCGCTGCGCGAAAGCGCTGGGGCCTTGCTTCAGGCCAGTCTGCAGCCCGTTCCCTGCCTCAGTTTCCCCAGTGGAGAGGGTCTTTGAACTGGCCTCGGCTCTCCCCCGGCCGCGTCTCCCTGTGCCTGGCCTTGGCTTCCCGGTAACCCCCAGACAGGAGTAGCTGCCACTCCCAGCCCCTCCCACCCCGTGACCGGCGACTGGCTCACAATGGGTGCCGGGCTGTCCCCAGGGGGCAAGGCCTCGGCCCTCACCTGCCCTGGCGGTGAGGGAGAGCCCAGGTCCAGCTCCTCCCCTCCCCCCGCCATGACCTGGGCTCTGGGTTGCAGACTCCGGGCCGGGCTTCTACATCCTGCCGTCCACCGTGGGCTTCATCCAGCACGACTGCACCAGGGCCACCAGTCCTGCCTACTCGCTCGCCCGGAAGCCCAGTGAAGGTGAGGGGTCCTGGGGGGAGGGATGCTGGGACCCCTAGAGTCCCCCAGGAGGGAGCACATCTGCCTAGTTGAGGCAGGAAGGAGACAGGGCTGGGGGATGACCTGCTTGCCTGCCCTTGCTGTGTGACCTCAGGCAAGCTGCTGTCCCTCTCTGGTCCTCTGTTTTCTTAGTGATAAAGAGAAAGGAAGCCGAAGATTGTATTGTGTTTAAAACCTGGTTTTGTTTGCCTCTTCCTTTTGCAATTCTGCTGTGTTTGCCTTTAGGCAAACTCCTTAACTGCTCTGTGCCTGAGCTTCCGCCTCTATTAAATGTTAACCTCAGCCTGGCAAGGTGGCGTACCTGTTATCCCAGCACTCAGGAGGCTGAGGCAGGAGGATCGCCACAAGTTTGAGGCCAGCCTGGGTTACAGGGTGAGACCCTGTCTCCGAAACAAAAAAGAACAAATGTTAACAACATGGCCGAAGCTGTGACTCAGTGACAGGGGGTTCATCTGGGCCCCGGGCTGGCGTCCTGGGGAGGACGCCTTGTCCAGCAGGTTCATCTCCAGCACCATGGGGCAGGGGAGCAGTGACCATGGTGCCTGGTGTCTTGGTGAGTGGGCCATGGAAGTGGGCTGTTGGTGTGAGTGCTGAGCCTCAGTTTCCTCACGAGGCCCTGCCATGTGCCTGGTTCTCACGAGTACAGTGAAGACTCCCTGCTCCGTGGTGGGTGTGCTAGGACAGGGACTTCCCGGGAGCCTGGCTGAGGGGACTGATAATCACTCGCTGGAGGCCCAGGGTAGAGTGTGAGAGGTGAGGCATGGGATCTGGGCTTTGTGGGATGAGTAGAAGCTCGGTGGAGGGCTCAGGAGCAGAAGGGTCCTCTACGCAGCGCCCGCAGCATAGGTGGGACACGTTGCAGTGGGTTGGGATATGCTCATTTGTCACAGAGCTGGGGAGAAGCAGAACAGGCTTCCACGTGTGACAGTGCAGGGGCGAGGCCCAGCACTCAGTCCAGCTGGCCTGTCCTTGTTTGTGACTTCCTGCACCTAAGGCTCCACTTTTTTTTTTTTTTTTTGAGACAGGGTCTCACTATGTAGTCCAGGGTGGCCTCACACTGGAACTCACAGAGATTCTCCTGCCTCAGCCTTCTCAGTGCTGCAATGCCAGGCATACACCACCACGCTCGGCTCCATTTCTGACAAAGGGGCCAGGGCAGATTCTCCCTCGGCGTTACTGAGATGCTGGGAGAGAGGCATCAGCTGTTCCCGTGTGGGCCCAGCACACCTGACCCTGGGCATGGTTCCCTCTGCCCTGGGCTGGGGCTGGAGCAGGACCAGCTTGTGCAGGAAGTCGTGTCCCCACTGGGGACTTAGGGTGGGAGTGTGGGGAGGCTGGAATGTCGGGGGGACAGCAGAGCCTCAGCCGCCAGCCAGGGACACCTTCCTCAGCCTGTCAGGCTGCCTGTCCTCCCCGGGGGGGGGGGCCCTCAGACTCTGGCTCCTCCGCAGCACCTCCCCAGGACGCCAGCCCGGGGCCCATCTACCTCCTGGACCCGAAGGTCACCCGTTTTGGCCGGAGCTGCACCCCTGCCTACTCCATGCAGGGCCGGGCCAAGTCTCGGGGTGAGTACCAGCTGGAGGAGACGCGGGAGTGCCGCCTGACCGCCCCTCCCTCCCCAGACCACAGAGCGAAGCCCAAGGGCCTCAGAAGGGGTCGTGGGGCAGCAAGGACCCAAGTGCCGCGGTGCTGGGAGGGCGGCCAGCTCGTCCCAGGTGCCGGACACACGGGGCAGGGCTGTGGCAGAATGATCTCCCCGGGGCCCACAGCCCCTCCGTCACCGGACCCCATCTCCCGCTCGCCCATTCACCTCCCAGCCCACTGCCCACCTCCTCCGCCCCCTGGCCCATTCATCCGCCTGCTGGCTCACCGCACTGCCCACCCGGCCAGCCAGCTTTCCCACAGCCTTACCCATCGTCCCACGCGTCCATCCACACGGCCCTCCTCCAGCCAGCCAGGGTGCTTCCTGCCGCTGACAGGGCCCTCACACGCCCACGAATCCACCCACGACCACTCCATCCACCCGCCATCCACCGTCCACCATCCGTCCACGCTCTTCCACCCACTCACCCGTCCACCTGCTCCGCCATCCGTCCGCACGTCGTCTACCCCTGTGCCCATCCATCCACCTATCCATTCGTCACCCACCCGCCCATCATCACTCATCCACCCACCCACCATCCCCCCATCTGTCACCCCCCATCCCTCATCCCCCCATGCACTCGCCAGAGCACTGTCCTCTGCACCACCCATCCCTTCCGCACCCTCGCTGGTCGTCTCCCTCTGTTCCGCTCGCCCACCCATTCACCCTCGCTGGCCACTTCCCCCGCCCCATCCACCCGCTTAGGTCTACACATTTCTGGGAGTGGAGCACATGTGGTGTGTCCCGCGTCTCAGGAGGCCCTGGCTGGTGGGAGATTCAGAACCAGCGGGGGCCGTCCCGCCTCCGGGTGGTCACGTCTGGAGAGAGGCAGACCCGGGCTGGAGGGGCCCTGGGAGGGCCGGGTGGGTGAGCTCAGCTACAAGAGGCGTGGGGAAAGCCAGCGGAGGGGAAGGAGGACCGGTCGGGCTGGCTGGGGCATAAGGGGCAGCTCTGAGGAGGCGGGATGGGAAAGGGAAGCCATGGTGGGCCACTGGCTAGGTGTGGGCGAAGCCCTGAGACTGGAAAGCAGAGCGTGTATGAAGGATGGGAAGCAGTGGAAGAAATGTCCTGGGGCTCCGTGGTTGGTGTATGAGCTCCAGGATGCATGCTAGCAGTGAGGAGCCACATACCTTCTTTCACTGTGGGAGGTCTCTGTCCTATGTCAACCCCCTGTCCCACAGGTCTGGAGGTGACGCCAGGCCCGGGGGCTTACAGCCCGGAGAAGGTGCCCCCCGTGCGTCAGCGGAACCCCCCAGCGTTCACCCTGGGCTTGCGCCTGTGCCCAAAGCCCCCCGACACCTCGGCCCCGGCCCCCAACGCCTACACCATGCCGCCACTCTGGGGCTCACAGATCTTGGTCAAACCCAGGAGCCCCAGCTACACGGTGGTGGGCCGCACGCCCCCTGCCCGCCTCCTGCAGGACCCCGCTGAGATCCCGGGCCCCGGGCAGTACGACAGCCCGGACCCCAACGCCTACCGCCAGCGCCGGCCAGCCTTCACCATGCTGGGCCGGCCCCGTGCCCCACGGCCCCCGGAGGAGACACCTGGGCCCGGAAGCCACAGCCCCGAGCAGGTCACCGTGAACAGAGCCAGGGCCCCTGCGTACAGCATGGGTATCCGCCACTCCAAGCGGGCGGACACCGCGCCCTGACTGCCTGGGCCTCCATGGGAAGAGGGGTGCGGCGGGGGCCCAGGGCGGCCCCGGGCACATGGCGCCTCCTCCCACCCCTCCCTCTCTGTCTGAAGTCTCTCCAGGCCTCCTGGCCCTCTGGTCTCCGGGCCGCTCCCCAAGGCCCCATGTAGCGCCCCAGTTTCTCCTCTCGGTCGCGCCAGGCCAGAGCAGGCCCGCAAAAGTGTCTCTTTTCCTGGCCAGAGATGGAGCTCTCTGCTTCCTGGAACTCGGTGTCCAGCCCCACCAGGGCCCTGGGCCCCGCACGGCTCCGGTTTCTGCCAAGCTTGGGTTCATCCCTGCCTCTCATGGAGTGTGGCCCACAGAGGCACCCGTCTGCCCCGCCCATCCCCGAGTCGCTGCCAATAAATCTCTGCGCCAACAGCTGTCAGCAGCCCTTTCACGGCTCGCTTAATGTGTCTATCCATGCCCTAGAAAGGACACCTGAATTCTGCCCTCCAAGGCTAGCCCGAGACACTGCTGTCCTCCAGAGGTCTGGGAGGGACCAGACAGATGAGTGACCTAGAATGGGGGAGGTCAGAGTGGAGCCAAGGTTTTGAGTGGGGGAGCCAGGTAGGGTTTCTGGAATATAAAACTTTGCTCTTGGGTTTTGAAGGATGCATACGAGTTTGATGTAGTAGCACCAGAAGATGCCTGCTACTACCCAGATTTTTTTTTTTTTTTTTGGTTGAGACAGGGTTTCACTATGCAGTTCAGGCTGGCCTTGAGCTCACTTTGTAACCCAGGCTGGTCTGGAACTCCCAATGATCCTCCTGTCTCAGCCATCTGAGTGCTGGGATTACAGGCGTGCGCCACCACACCCGGCTTTACCCAGATATTGATGAAGGTCACCTAGGCTTTATAGCAACTCGGGAGGTAAATGACACTCTCCAGAGGAAGCAGAGCTTCAGAGATCCTGAGACCTGTCTCCTGCCACGATTCTCAGTCTGATGAAGGATTTGAACCCTGGCCACTAGGGACAGAGACATGGATGGTGCCAGGTGACGGAGTCAGCTATGCCAGGGAGCCAGGCCAGTCCCTCCGCAAGGGACCTCAATCCAGGACACAACTGGGACATGCCCCAGACGCCCTCCATACACTCTCTACTCCTCCAACGGAGGCCGACAACAGCCCAGATGTGAGGTCCAGTCGCAGCCTCCACAGGGGGACACCACCTCTCCCTCGACCACAGCGCCCCTGCCCCTCGGCCGTGCCCCTCCCCCTCGGCATGGTGACCTCATTTCTCTGATTTATCGATCGCTACTCAGTGGCCACGCCCCACCCTCCCCACCTGCCTGCGCCCTCCCTTTGTTTCCCGGCGTCGGCCCGGGGTCGGGCGGGGGAGCCTGGTTCTGGGGTGCCCTTGACACCCCGGTCTTCGGTACAGAAGGACCTAACCTTTAGGTCTGCCCAGGCCATGCAGGTCTCCGACTCCTCCAAGCCCTGCACGACCCGCGCTGCCTCTGAGCCGTCGCGGTGCGCGCCCCCGGGCACCCCTTGCGTGCCAGGCCTCTGTTTCCCTGCCGGGAGAGAAATCAGGGCGTGATCATCAGCAGCGCGGAGGGCTGGGGCTGCTCTTGGGCTTGGGGTTGCCATCTCCCGCCTTGCTCGCGCCCCTCCTCGCTCCAGCCCGTTTCCCCATCTATTCAGACTCATTCTTAAGCCTCCCCCAGGAACTTGGGGCGCAGCAGGGGGGCCGCCGCAAGGGTCTCGGAGGCGAAACCTCGCCCCACCCCAAGCCCTGCCAGGCGCCAGGTCGCGAAGGGCCGGGGTCCCAGGGGCGCAGCCCCCCGCGGCTGCGCGCTGGGCCGGGCGGTGACATCACC